TTTAGTGCTGCCAGCGGTTGTCACTAATACTTGTACGAGACAGGCATATCTAACAACATGACCTGATATTTTCTCTTGGTTTAGGAGTTTTATTGTTCATTTGATACGATTTAGGTATCCTTTGTGTATTGTTTGATATTTCTATTGCCTTTCATGTCCAACTTATACTTACACCTAAAGTATTTTCTCTAATCACGTAAAATGTCCTAGTTTCCTATGGTCTATACTACGAAGCCTTCAATGGATAAGGCCACACCAATTTAATTTCTTGGTTAACGGATTCGCCAGCTTCATTTTTTTCTGATTTGCAAATAAAAATAAAAATTCAGAATCAACTGCAAAATGCTCATATTTTGCCCTGAACAGTTGAAAACAGTCCTTTTCTTCCTAGTTGTTACAGTTATTCCATCTTTCAATGCAATGGTATCATTAAAAGTTCAAAATTCATTGTTTAAATTTTGAACCAGCCTGTTTTTATTTTTATTATTTTTTTCGCCCGCCCGCTCCATTATTCTTCTTCAAAAATCCGTTAACCAAGAAATCAAATTGGTGTGGCCTAAGTCCTAAAAAAGTATTGGCAAAAAGTAGGCCTCCTACTGATGTCCAATTATCTTTCTAATTGAGGCATAGGTTTTAAACCTCAGTGGGGAGAGATCAAAGAAAGAGGTACCGTTTGTAATCCCGATTCTAATCCTTCGGAAATTGAAAGGTCAAGATGTCCTTACTATCGTAGCATATTGACCTTGTAACCTTGTTAGTTGTCTATCAATTATTGATGAAGATCTTTGAACTATTGATAATGTTGTATCAACTGTAATAGTGGGTATCAACTATTGATAATGGTACTTTACGGGTCATTGAACCCAGATAGAAAAAAGTGGGGTCGTGTGGTGTAGTGGCACAGTGCTCGACTCGGAACAAAGGGTCCCGGGTTCGAGTCCTGATATGCCACCGACTTAGGAAAGGCACTTTACACGACTTTGCTTAGGTGAAAATGAGTATTGTTTTTCCCCTGTGTTGGGTGCGGCATTAATGTAAGTTGCAAAAAAATTGAGCGTGCCGTCACCACGTCTTGTGATTACATGTTGGAATATAAAAAAAGAAATAGAAAAAACGAATGAATATGTAGAATAGCTACTGTTAACGGTGACTAAAACACCATTCAGATTTACTAAAGAAAATCTTTTAAAAATCAGATAAATCTTTTGTGAAATGTAATAACTAATGGGGGTTTGTCACAAGTTGATCAAGCTATATGAGATTATTGTGCCACGTGGAGCCTAACAAGTCAATGTACACTATTCATTTTAATGTAAATGATATATAGTAGCATGTACTATCTACGTCTTCACGCACTGTCACTTTGGCACTTTTTTCTTTATATTAGTTTTACTACGTTTTACACATCGCTATAACTATTTGGGCACTCATTGCAACCATTATATAACATCAAAGCTAGAAACATGAAAGTTTCAACCGGAGGTGCATTACAAAGTGCAAGACCAATGAGAAAAGACGTGAACTTAGTTCTCCCCAACACTTATACGATAGAGATGTTTTATTGAACAACCCCATCTAGCTTGAAAGAAGTAGGACGTAAAGAGATCTGAACGCCGCTGTCTAGGGAACTTTCCCATTAACGCTTAGTGCCTTTTTGTTGACGTTCTCCGGAGTCCTGTGAACTCATGAAACGTTTTCAATGGAATATCAAACCTTCAGACACGATATGACTGGCAGTATACCTCCAGAAATGCACGAGTAGCTTTCGATATAACCGATGAATCAGAATAATGGGACCGGGGTATTCCTTTTTCTCCCGACCTTTGGTCGCAAAAGCCATAGATCTGAAATATAAATAGCTGCCTTGAGACACTGTAAAATGGTCTATGGCCTTTGTGAAGGGAAAATGTATCCATAAAACTGATAAATGCTAGTGCTGTGTCGTTGATATGGTACGAAATGTAGACAAATGTACAATTTTCATTCGACTTGGGTAAGCAGAAAGCCAGTTTTGTAGACATTAAACTAATTCACCTACCATGGTGCTGCAAATTAGATCCTTGTGACTTTTGCTCGAATCAAACCATGACCAATTACAGTTTCAACTTTTATATTTCCATTGCAAATGGGACTTCATTGAGACCATTGAACCATGAAGATACAACATCTGGATGCGTTCCAAAAAACCCTGAGCCGGGCCTGCTGCATGTTTAAAGAACATAGGCCTTTAATGGAGAAGGTGTAAGAGTTTGCTCTGCATATATATGATGGGTCTTTGTTCCAGCAGAGTTCCCAGGAATAGTCTGTATGTATAGCTGCTTTTACAATTTGCCCTTCGTCGTCCTTCTTTTAAGTCTGATTTCTCTACATTTGTCAAATTGCATACCCACAGCTAGCAATCATGCAACAACGCGGGCTACATGAGAGTTGAGCAATAACAAGGTGCTAAAATCAATTTATTGGACCAAATGATCCTTAACCCTATTTGAAGGAAAACGTTTCTTTTTAAGGATCATTAAATCCCTTCAAGTCCTGCAGGCGTGAAATTATAGAATACTCGCCACTGCTTCGCGAGCACTCATGATTCCATCCAATTGACAATTAATTATATACTATAGGCCTGAATTCAACTGCAATGCCTCGGCAACAGTATGGAACACTGGTCGAGATATCGATTTTATTTTATAGTATACCCTTTAGATTTTGAACCATCTTGATCTAAATGATAACACTCCTGGTGTGGTTTGTTCTGGTACTACGGTCGATAGAGAGTCAGAACTGTAGGGGTTACAGAGGACATTTACAGCAGTTTATAGCTTTTATAGATGCGATGATAAAATGTTTGACCTTTTAAAATGGCATATCGATGACACTCTCATTAGTTTGAAGGACATACGTATGTTTTGAGGTCAAATTTTGGGATGTAAACTTATGAAAAAAAGTACAAAAACTTTGGTCAACCGTATTTCTTGACTACTCTAACAACTCTAATACAAGTCAAGTCAAAGTTTATTGCACAACTAATGTACGGATACATCGTATGGCAATTAGCGGTACTAGGTACAAATCTAAAATCTAAACTAATGCGTAAAAGAGTACTACATACATGCTGTATATGAATCGAACTTAAGTTACATCGTATACAAAAGGAATGGCAAACATTATACAGGGGTTCTATAAATTTATATGAAGGAAAACGTATCCATTACATATTTATTACCAATTATGAACAGATCACATACTTTCTTTTACTTTGTATTTGAGACGTTATTTATGTATATAACATGATATAGTGTGACGTCTGGTGGTGACACGATCTACAGCACATGGACGCAATCGTAAGCATTTATGTATGGGCAGTGCACTAAGCCTTATCGGCATCGTGCAGATATATTGTCGTATTTTATAATATATTACGGAAGACGCCAGTCTAGCCCCCAGAGTCTAATTCTCCGTTGGTCTACCGCTTCCATATGGGGTAGAGATTTAGGAAATGCGAGATAAAAACTGACGGGGTGGGCAAAATATATAGCGGACACGTCCTGGCAAGTGGCGTAGTCTGGCGATTTGGTAAGTATATTCCATGGTCTAGAACCCAATAGCACTGAACCAAATGCCTTTAACTTAAGATTTGTACCGACTATGTGGTTACCACAAACCACTGAAGAAAAAAAAACATGCGTATCGCTAGTTGCAGACTGGTACCGAACATGTTTCCTTACCGCGGACAACTACACACACACACACATACACACACACACACACACACACACACACACACACACACACACACACACACACACACACATACACAAACACACACACACGCCTAACTCGTTTCATGCAATCCATGCAATGCTCGGCTTGTGTGAGAGAGATCTAGTCTCCAACAGACTCCTTTGCAAGCTTCAAACTGGACCCCCTATATGGCCGGCCAACTCCCCTGGCCAGCTACACTCTTTTTAGGCCGATTTGTACTATTTATTCAGCCTGCAAAGGAGAGACCGGTTGTAGGTACGATGTCAGCCATAACACCACAATAAACATTATACAACACACGATTGAAGACAGGGTCTTTGTGATGCTGTGGCATTGTGTGTACATATATGATTTGTAATGACCAACGCAAATCAAGAGTAAATGTATGTTCTATGTTGTTTCAACTGAATGAAGATTGAGAGAAAGGGTCGTAGGATACGTGTGTTTATTCGAGTGGCATCCACTTCTCGTACTGCCGTATGACCATCGTTGTCGTGCATCAGTGTCAGAGAGTAGATATGGATCTTGCTTTACCGAACGTGATCAATGTACGTGTCCCAGGAAGAGGTTGGAGAAGATGAATCCTAAGTCCCCGAGAGACCTCTGTCTCTTATCTAGATCTCAGGATATGTCAGTCTGAGCCTCTTAATGCGTCTATATATCTATTGTAGGGGTACATGCTGTTTCCGGATCGCGGAGAGCGCTGGAATGAAGTTTGATTTTTCTTTCAGAGTTTCTGAGTTTCACCTACAGTGCAAAAACCCTTTCGGTCAGTGAACATTAGCTTTCGATTATTTCATCGTTTCTTATTTTTGTCGAAAATAAACACAACTTTTTAAACATCATGACTGTGTGCTTATGTGTTTGTATGAATACTAAACGGAAAATTTCCTGGATATAATTTATTAAAAATTATTTCTCAGGGTAAGATTTTCCTTCAATGGATTGTTTTCATATCAGAAACGGTGACATTTATTTCTACAATAAAAATGCTTTGACATGAATGAAAATACCTTTCTCAAGGTTGCAAGGGCACAGGTTAAGGACCGGATGAGGATTCAAACCCACAACCTTCCAAATCTGTATCAACAGACGGCGACCATTATAAAACATACAATATCTTCAGGACCACAGTCTTCTCTAAGTCTTGTTTATTTGAAGGATCTCCATTAGTGAGTATACGCATACGCATACGCATATACTCACTATTCTTCCTGGAGTCATAAAAACACATTACAAACATGTTGACAGCCACTCCACGGAGTAGGGCGAGTCCAATGGTGTTAGTTCTTAGTCCTTTTGTTGACGTTGACGCTCCTTCCTGGCCATTACAAACATATAACACAGACGTATGTACACTTAAAGTCTTTGTTGGTGTTTTGTACGTGAGCTTGATTCTATCGAACTTAGGCGGCCACCTTATCGTCCAAAGTCTTCTACAGACCGCCAATCGTTGGACGTTGATAGAGAAGCAGTGAAACCACACTGATGTTATCTACATACATCCATCACGCTTTAACTACTTTATTTGGTCCCCTGTACAAGGAGAGATAACATGATTTGGGCAAGACACTTACTAGATCTGCCGCAGAGCTGAACTGTAGCTCTGTGAGGCCATGGCCTCAACTATGGTGGAAAATGAAATACATTTTGTTAGCCAATATCCTCACTATGAGACCGAAAGAAACAGATTATTTCAGACAGTTACAACAATTTCTCCATCCTTCCGTCATGTAGAAGATCACCAAAAAACTGCATTTCTACTAAGAACACAAAACCCACTAATTATGCAGAACGTGGGACTATTCATTATCCACTGCCTTCAAAGAAGAAGTCGAACCCCACAATAGCTACCGTAGTAGTAGAAGTATTAGTTTTTTCCCAGACAGTTGTTACCTGTCTCCTGTTACTGTATTGTAATGAGTATTATACTTGATTGTAAAAGCAATCAGCCTTCGGGCATGATTTTGCGAATAAAGTTTCTTTAAATTAAAGTTATTGGTTTTTCGGGAGTCGGTTCATCAGAGGACGTCTAACCCTTACCTAACTTTATTTAAACAATTTTGGGGGAAGTATCAGAAGCTGACCTTCATCCCCCATGTTTTCAAGTATGTCACTTATTGGCTTTCTTCCATACACGGTCGAATTTTGACTTTGCTGAGTGCCAAGACAGTCAATATTAAGTAAAGATCACCCATAGTACCAAGACCTGTTCAAATGATTTCAATAGTAAGCAAGCAATAAAGCACTGAATAAAAGAAATGATGTAAAATTTATGGTGAAACTAAGTCACTGTCTAGACTCATAGAATATGTTGAATCAGAAACCGTGCCCTTTTGTAGTCACGATTGATTTAAAATAAAATTTTCCCTCAGCATACAAGAAATTGTTTCAAATTGAGCTGACCTGTACAGCCATGATGTGAATTAAAGGACAGAAGGTCGGTGACAAAACGAAATCAAGAAATTGGACGGCCACATAAAGTGACAGAAACATAAAGCCTGTACAGTAGTGTCTAGTGGTTGAGGAGATATCAAGGAAGACTTCTACGATTCCATACCTGCACAAGCAATACCATGTTGAGCTACGGAATCACCTAATCTCCAGGACTTAAATGCTCACTTTTTATATAATTTGCATAAGTCACAAATACTAAGTCATCCGCATTTACCAATGCGGTATTGACTAATAAATTATGCAAAGAACATCCGTATTCTAGCATAATATATATATGACCCTATCTCTCAAAATCACTCATATTGTACTTATTAAAGTTCTGTCCTTCCTTATGACGATCTTCATTCCGCCATGAGTATATATGCAGATGATATACAATCATGATTTTCATATTCTATTCACATTCACAATATAATACCTATCCTTCTTTACGGACACAGGAAAGATATACCATCCGAAGCTAGTAAACACGGAATGTCTATAACACGGGATGCAAAAAAATACACTGTAGTATGAAGACAAAACGCAAGAGGTCTCAAATTCAAAGTCACCACTATGATAGATCAATATCTGAATGCATCTAACATTCCAACTTCATTTATAGCCCCTTTGTTTACACTGCTCAAGCACAGACACCGATACAAACGTCACAAAAAAGCATGAAAAAGGTAATAATCACAATCTTTTTTATTGTTTTTATTGTCTTGCCTATACAGCGCATCCACAAGTCTCCAACGGTGACCCAACGCAAGGCCGTCCGTTACTACTGTCAAAGCTGTTAGATCCAACCAAGAGCAGCAGAGGAGGTACACGTGCATAGTTTTTTAAGATAAAACTTTATTTCACAAGTTATCAGAGTTTATTTCACACGTTATCAGAATTAGCAGAGTCAGAATAAATATACATAGTTATTTTACAGTTGTTAAATGGTGCTAAAAGTTTGTCTATGCAATTCTGTAATTGTACACGTGATTCAGTATTTGACAACGTTTCTTCAATCTCAATTTTTTCTGGGCATTCTTTGACAAATATGCTGAAACTATGCTATTGTAATATTTTCATCCTTATATAATACCCATTTGTTTTAAATTACGTGTAATGCCTAGTTTGATGATCAAAGAACCATCTATCTAACCAAGGAGGTTAAAACTCTTGATATAGCTTTCGAAAATTGGTTAATTTGTTGATATTAAAGATGTAGATGATGATATGCAAGATCCAAACTGAAATGAGCTAGGTGACACATTTTTTTTTCTGTATTTTAGGCCACACCAATTTAATTTGTTGGTTATCGGATTCGCCTCTTCGTTTTTTTCTGATTTGCAAAAAAAAATTCTGGTCCTGAATCAACTGCAAAATGCTCATGTTTTGCCGCGAACAGTTGAGGAAAGTCCCTTTCTTCCTAGTTGTTACAGTTTTCCCATCTATCATTGCAGTGGTTTGATTAAAAGTTCAAAATTCAATGTTTAAATTTTAACCCAGCCTTTTGTGTTGACTTCATGGCTCATTCCATAGCATTTAAGCCTATAATTAGGATGCCTAGACCTGTTTTTATTTTTATTTTTTTTCGCCCTGTCGCTTCATATTTTTTCTGAAAAAATCCGAGAACCAATAAATTAAATTGGTGTGGCCTTATGTACATTTTCTCCCTCCAGGAGAGGGTATTTCATTGCGAGGTAAACGTCTACGTGCTGTGACCATCTTGGTAAGTAAGAAACTGGTGATATGACGTACAATATAGTATCTTCGTCTTTTGCTTGTGATATTTACCTGTAAAAGAATATAATTGTAATGATATAGTCACATAACATTTACAGAATGTCATGCTTTGGAGTTGCGAATACAGCAGACAAACAAATTTACGTTATATAAAGCAATAGACTTGTATTTTTTTCCAAAAGAAGTATGCCTAGGCGTCTTGATGGTCTAACAAAGGCTATATCTAAATTATCCATATGGTTGCAATACATCTCAATATACTAAGATTGCTATTTAATAAAACGATTTATTATCCTCTGAATAATAAGTTAAAACGGAAATGTTCATTTCAATTTAATACTTCATCATCAGGCTTCTTGTTTGTTATATTTCTTATTTTTTTTTCACTTCTAGGAGGCTCCTTATATGATGAAGAAGGAGAATGAGAAAGGGGAGCTGGAGTTTAGTGGATTCGTGAAGGATATTGTAGATCAGTTGTCAGAGAACATGCGGTTCGAGTACGAGATGTACGTGGTACGAGATGGCACATACGGAACACTAACAGAGAACGGCACATGGACTGGGCTTATTGGGGAGGTCATTGAAGGGGTAGGTACAATACTTCAAAAATATATTTCTAAAACTTTCAGTATGCTATTCTGTACGATGTAGCTTTTTTGTTCTTTCGGGTGACCCTATGTAGCCTGAGCTCCCGCGCTTCGAATATCTTTTTCAGTCTAATATAACCATTTGTATCACATATTGTTACCTTTGCCTGGCTACATATAACTCCTGAAGCGATGGAGGAATGTTAATGATTTTTGGGAACAAGATACCGTTAGAAAGAGGAAAGAAGAAGGTCAAGTTTAAGAATGAATCTTATCGTTGGTTCCTAAGTTACTGCAGTGTTAAATGTACTATGTGTTTTCAGTATCGTAAGCTACAATAAGATTACAGATGTGTTCTTGACTTTCTAGCGTGCAGACGTCGCCTTCGCTCCAGTCACTATCAGTTCTGAACGGGAACAAGTCGTCGACTTCACCAACCCGTTTATGGACTTGGGAGCGGGACTTCTGCTGAAAAAACCAGTCACCGAAGGAACCAATGTCTTCGCCTTCTTGGAGCCATTCAGAAGCACAGTCTGGTTTTCTATCTTGGGCGCCATTTTTGGTGTCGCCATATTGTTATACGTTACCAGTAAACTTAGGTAAGACATTAAAATCAATGGTGCATATTTACTGAAAAAAATTGCTGAATTGCTTCCTTACAGGATGGAATAGGTGTTAATGTGCAAAGTACTTCGTCCTTTTTTATAAATAACATCAACCAATCTTTTTTTTTGAAAATACAGATTAATGGGATTCAAACATTTACCTATAAGCACTTACATGGTCGATGTTGCCGTTAACTCTACTTTTCCTTGTGACCATGGCATTTTGGTAATGATTTAGAGTCTATATTTATTATTTCAAACCGAATGTTCACTTCAGGTACCGGTGTAACGTTGGGAAGGACGACTATGACAACGATGCAAAGTTTAACTTCACAAACAGTCTCTGGCTGACATACTGGTCAATTGTTAGAAAAGGTAGGTCCATTCACTCTATTTTTATGCCTTATATATTATATATATATATATATATATATATATATTTCATTCATTTCATACATGTAGCTTTATGGACTCTACCAGGCCCATAAGTTATGACCTAAAAGTCCTCCGACCTGTCCTCTCGGATAGGTCGAACCAAGGTATAGTGTCCTTGGTCTAAGGTTTGCCAGCTGCTAGTCAGCCAGACACTCCTTCAGCCTATTGTAGAATAACTACAATAACTCAGCTTTTGTAGTGAAGACTCGAAATAGGCAACGTATAATTGACTGATAAATTTCCTCCAACAACAGGTGAGAGTAAATCTCAGTGGCTGACGGCGTAAAGGATGTACGTTTGAAGGGATTGTATCTTTTAACCGTTTACATATGCAAATGCATGCTAATAATAATCGTACGTTTCCAGGAGGAGAGCCTGCCCCCCGCTCCCTCCCCTCCCGTATCCTGGCCGGTGCCTGGTGGTTCTTCACCCTGATCGTCATCTCCACCTACACGGCCAACCTCACGGCCTTCCTCACCGTCAAACGGCTCGTCTCGCCCATCAAGTCTATCGACGATCTGGCAGGACAGACTGCGATTCAGTACAGCGTCACAGAAGGCACATTTCTGTACAGCTTCTTTAAAAGCCAAGAAGGTAAGCTTGGTATCAAAACTTTTGACGAAACTCCAATATTAGCACATGGATAAAAGTAATCACGTATCCTTCGTGAATGCAGAATATTTCTTATAATTTCGTTCTGAAGTTAGAATGAAACCACTATTCCCCAGCACGAACTCATGATTGAGATTTGTGAGTTAGGGGGACGTAAATAAATGATCAATATGGTCTTCTAGCACTCAGGGGCTTATAAAAGAAAGGTTTTGGATTATGGTAATCCTACCATAATTGTCCTGAGTCAGTATGTCGATTTTTCTGGCGTCAGTGGTCGGCCGGTAGTCATCTATCCTACCGTCAGGTTAATTTTTGGAACTGTCAGAATGACAGCAACATTTTAACGTCATGTGAAAAAGTTTTAAAGTCGCTGTTATGTTTGAATAAGTTACATTTTCTAATATCAGAAAAACGACCTAATGTCTCAGTCTCTTTATCTATCTAGCCCAAGTGCTGTAGACACATATTTCCGAACATATAGCACAAGCCCTGGGTCTGGGTCAAGTTTGTCGGAACCGACGTTCCCGATTGAGAGGCTAAAAGGCTTAATCTCCAAGCAGATCCCTTTCGGTGGCAAAAAGACAGTATCAAATTGGCCAGGCAGTATCCATTAGCCAGAGAAGGTCGCCAGCCACCGACGGGTTGGTGGGTGCAGCAAAAAAAAAACGGCATATATAAAAAACTAACGATGATTCCCCCACAACCTCTGCTTGGAGAGTATATAAGGGTGCGTGCCTACTTCTATTTTTTTCTTTGCTTAGGGACTGGTTCTGTATACGAGCGGATGTGGTACACCATGAAGGCCAATGACCGCTTCCCGCCGACCAGCATGAAAGGTGTGGACATGGTCCGCAGCACTCACTTCGCCCTGATCGAGGAAACGCCGTTCCTGGAGTACACAGTGAGAACTGACGAGGGATGCGAACTGATGTTGCTTGGAAAGCCCTTCCTGTTCAAAGGTTACGGCTTTTCCACGAAACGGGGAAGTCCGTTGAAAAAGCCGTTATCAGTAGGGTAATACTCTTTTTATATTCCAACATGTAATCACAAGGCGTGGTGACGGCACACTCAAGTGTCAACTTACATTAATGCCGCCACCAACACGGGGGATAATACAATACTCATTTTCACCTGAGCGAAGGGAGGAAAGTCGGGTTAAGTGCATTTCCAAAGGTAAGGGCACAAGATCGATGGCATGTCAGAACTCGAACCTGGGACCTCTTGGTTCCGAGTCGAGCACACTGCCGCTACGCCACTCGACCCCACGTGACTTTTGATTTCACGGAAACCATTCTTTGGTTTGAAATACTAGTACACTACACTGTTCTGTACCTAATATAACTTATTATGAGAGTATGGCTGATGAAAACGTATGTTAGTACAATGATACTGTGCCTTATTTAGTAACCATGGGTTTAGTTAACATTGACACAGACATTGCGTTAGCGTTTACATTCGGGTTTAGGGTTGCTGAAAATGACTTCTTTGTTTCTATCGCACAAAGGATATTAAAACTACAAGAGACAGGGTACATGAGCGAGCTAAGAGACCGATGGTGGCCAAAGAACGGATGCCCGCTAGACGGTCAGACGTCCAATGTCGACAAGGCCTCGGCCTTAGGGCTGGAAATCTTCCAAGGTGTCTTCTATGTGCTGGGAGCTGCAGCAGTGTTAGCCGTACTGGTGACGATAGTACAGGTCGTGTACTACCGCTTCATCAAGCACAGAAAACTGGTAGGTTGGACATTGGAACAGCTTGTTTCTTTGGAATATCTTAATCTTGAATAATACACCTTAAACATTTGCACATGTATGCTGTCTTGTCCTTTAGGCTGAAATACATAAAAAGGGTTTTGTTATAAATCTTGAGTCATGTTTAATTATTTTTCTCTGATTCAGAGCTAATATAGCGTAATATTATATTATATTATATTATATTATAAATAAATTTGTTATAACGCTAACGCTTGCACGGCATGCAACTTTATGTATACTTTTATGTCTTGGTTTGGCTTCGCTGACAAAAACACATTTGCAAATAGTCTGTGTTTTCAACCTGGAAACATTCTGTCATTATGTTTAAAGTTTTTAAGTTAAAATGTTTAAAGTTTTTAAATTTAAAACTTTTGGTCCAACACAAAAAGTTTTCTCACCTAGAGCTTTCAGTCAGTCACTCTGGTCTTCCTTTAGTATTCTGACATCGTGAGGCTTGTTATGTGGCTTCTTTGAAGTGTGACGTCAAAGGTATCTGACTATCTGTCATTATGTTTTGATTTTGCCCTCATAGCCTGATGCACCAGAGGATAAAAAACAGCCGACGCACTACAGAAACGGGATACTGCGCCGCACCACCACTGACGTAAACCTCTTCTGAGAATATCAACAGCGAAAGTAAAATGTTGAACTTTAAAATGTTGAACTTTATTCTAACAAAGGTTGCACAGATATCAAGTTTTCAACGACCACTGTTGCCTTCATCAGGATAATTAATGACTAACTGTGTAGAATTTGCTGACGTCTCGTTTGAATACAGTGACGTGTTAACGTTCGGAAGTAATTGGTCATTGATTATCCTGATGAAGGCGACATACAGTGGTCGTTGAAAATGTTATCTCTGTTTAACCCTTGTGTTGGAATAAGGTTCAACATTTTACTATGATTATTACGTACCGACACAGATGAACTTTCATGATAAAATGTAGTGTTGTAGTACCAAGAGGTACAATCTACATCATCATAATTCACCAAAATGGCGTCGCGGTGGATCGCACGATTTGTACTTACTGGTTGGTTGGACACACTATGATGTCAGATTCAATGAATAAACGTAGGTTTTATCCTGTGAATACACAGTTTGTAAATAATTGTACTTCGTACTGTACTAAATATTTTGAGCGTTGTGTACTTCGACTTTACTTTCCACCAGTAATACACGGTGTATAGTAAGGCCTAGAGAGCTAGTTGGTATATTTTTAATCCAGATGTTCATGTACATGTCTCCAGCACTGGACTAGCTTACTTATGGCACGGAACGGCCACTACGTAAACAGTGTCAGTTTTAGATAGATAGATATCAAGTTAGGAACAGACAACAAATATTTGTGCTCAAACGATGTTGTACAGAATATCATAAGTGTCTCTACGAATGAACACCGGACCAGTGAATTAGATTGTATTCTTAACCGTATACCTTTTGCAAGGGCAGGCTATCAAATGTATATAGTGTTGCATGCAAAGAATGTACTGTAGATAACAGGTCGTTAATACTATACTTGATGAAATAGAGTTACGTCTATTTCAAAAGTGTACTTTGCAACTGTACTAATGCTACAAAATACATGTACATTAAACATAAAACGCTAGCTAAGATAACTGTATGGTTGCAGATGTATATGTTCATATCACGTCTTGACATGTAATCTGTTGTGTAACTGTACATAAAAGATTTACTGAGCATGAGAAACTCGTATACAAGATAGTAAGATAAACACTTTTTTCTTATTAGCAGCATTTTGCGTTTTGTGCACATGTAAAAAGGCCGACGTATGGAACCTTTCGTATGGAATAGCCAACAACAAGAAAATTAAGCTCCTTGTAAGATTATACCACAAGATTATTCCATTTCCCGCCATTTAATACCACTGTGGTGCTGGTTTTGAGTTTCAGAGTTTCCCGCTATTTTCACAAGTGAGGGACGGTGATGGTATCCGGTTTCACAATTTCCCGCCAAATACCTTCCCTGACACCAGTGTGGCTGGCCATCTGATTGGCCAACCCCTTAATTTCCATTTCTATAATGTCTTGCCACTGTTACCCTCCTTTTTGTCCCTTTGTAAAGTGGCGTCTCTTTCACACAGCGTCAAATTGTGTTCATATTTAGCATGTTGTATTTTAACCACGTCGAAATCGTTTATTGATCGTTCACTAAAAATGATTGTTAAAAAGGCTTTGGCTATTGAGCGACCAACGACAATGAAATAAAAGTTTCTTGTAATGATATCTCATGGACCAGCTTGAGGATTTTTTCTGATATTAGTTTATACTAATATTTGTTCTTACTTATCTTTTTTTTTTGTAGAATTTCGCTGTTTATCAAAGCATGATCATGACTGACCAAGTGAGTTTGAGTGACTTTACATAATAACGTTAACGGATATCTTAAGTCTATATTACTAGACAATCTTGGAAGATACATAGGACTAGACATATAGTGAGTAGCTATGCTTACTTTCTTATCTTGGTGATGTCTAAATTGTAATGGTTTTTAAATGTAAAGCATGTACGTTTGTGTCAAAATAGTGCCTCAATTTGCTTTACAAACAATAAAGGGGAATTATATGAGAAGCAAACTGGAACAGTTGTTTTATTTGAGTTTCTGGTGTGTATCGTTATACACCCTACAAAGTATAGAACAGATGCATAATTCTTTCCATCGATCTATATATAACAAATAATAAAATAGAACGTAACACCTCTCTTTATTATGTCTGATGATTTTATTATTGCTGAAGAATGGTTAGAATCTGATTGAAGCATCTAATTGGTATAAAACACATAAAAGTTAAAACCCTTTGCGTACCTTGACCGAATTTCGCCATTCTTGAAAAGAGAGCAAAATTTGGCAATTTGACGGTGTTTGTGCCTACTTCACTCGCAACGACTTTGACTAATAGTATTAGTAATACTGTAGCCTAGCATTTGGTGGGTATACAATTCTAACCTGTGAAGATGTTGCTTCAAGTTGATATTGCCATTGCCCAAACATAATTTGTTATTAGACCTGTAATTTACGTTGTATAAAAGGTTACTAAGCTTCCACTGTGTGTTCATATAAACGTCGTGGATTCATCAGCTTTATATATTGCACTGCTGCAATAATATACCAAGATGCTAGTCGGCGGTTGAAAGCCGTGGAGAGTTAGAGTACTGGGCGTCAGAATGGTGTTACAGATCGTGGGGTCCTTTTTGATAAGCAGTACGAAGAGGAAATGTCATCGCACGTATATTTCATCCACATTTAAAGAGCACGACAACATTCCAAAGAAACGATAGCCACTGTAAGATTGTACAAAAAGAACGTTAAATCGCATCGACTTGTAAAGGGTATTAGATCATAAGAAATTAATTACACATTCTTAACCTGAAGAAGCAAGAATATGCATTTTTCTGGCATTTAGAAATAATAGGACTATAGATAATACTGTTCGTAATCACACACACACACACACACACACATACGCACACATAAAAGTACAGAAAACCAATCATTTTTCGTAATGCAGTTCATTTAATCATATTTTACACGTTACAACATGACCAGCAAACTAACTATTTTGTTATAACTACCGGATAAAAACACAATTTTGACAAATATTGACTCCCCTCTTGTAAAGACCAGTGCCTTACGCTTTGCTATACATGTGCATATACGTTTTAAAAATAGTTCTTTATGTACAGGAGTTGCAATGTAGCAAGATCTATAATACTAAGCACAATAGTTATAACTAACAGTTTGTTCAAGATCCGTTCATAGCAGTATTGGTTCCTACCTGGGTAACGCGTTAAATATCTAATACATGTACGCAGTCGTTTTACTATGCTGCCATGAAGAACTGCGGTCTGCATTTTGTCGAAAGGTGTCGCTTTTATACGAACACATGAAAAAATTTTTTCAAGTAGACAGAGAAAAGTAGACAGCATATCTCCTCTACTAGGCACGGTGATTCAGCTAACTTTAGTTTCTGTATCTTCCTGTGTATATTTGTGGATGTAAGTAAGTTTTTACACAGTGCTCATGAGTAATATAACTACAAAGTGCGAAGGATATAAGCACTAACATTTATTATCTACATTTTACCGATAAAACGTCAAACGTGGAATCTTACAGTTGAAAATACTCACGTAGTCTTTCTCAAATTAACATCCGTTACTGCCTTTCTTTCTATGAAGATATCTACCTACTTCAGAGTCAGACATGGAGAAAATATATATTTCTTGCACTTACGTGTAGAGCTACGATGTTTCACTCGAACGACATGCTACAAGGCACAACGATAGTCAAAATTACAGTTTTAATGTAGGTACATACAGTCTATCATCTAACACAGAAATATGAGTCACTTGCAGTTGCCAGGTTTGTACCAGTCGTTGGTCTGTCAAATACATACACTTCGACGAAGAAATAGCATGTTAGAGACCTAAGAAATTATCATTGTGCACATAATGCAGAGACCTAAGGTTTGGATAGCAGCCAAAGGGGAATATATTCACATTTTCCTCTGGGGATTCTCGTAACTCACAAGTTTCATTGGGCCATAAACACTACCTCCGGCGTATTTAATTTCAGTTCATCTCTATTTTCTTGGCGTTTCTGTCTTAGACGCTACTGTTAATCAGCATGTTTTACGCCGCTTGTCAGGTTTTAAGTACTTTCTTCTTACTTTACTTTATCCTTTCAGCACTTTTTACACGCTCTATAAGAATTAATGTCCGAATTTCCTTTAGCGATGGGCAACATAGCAGAACGTCCACAGCACATCGATTGCACTGGGTTCTTTAGATAAGCGCCGAATAAAGTAAACATTTATAATAGGAAATTTTGATAAACTTTTTAACAAGTATTTTCGTGAGTATCTAGTCTTTGGAGTGAGAGGGTAGACATAAAGATCGAATTTTGTCTAGAAAATCGTCTTTGTCGCATCCGACTGCATTTTTAATGGGTTCAGTAAAAAGTGTTAATAAACTGTGATGAATATGAATTAGCTGGATCAATTCTGTAATTGTTCTCGTGTACGTAAAAAAACTAGAGAACAATTGTAAAACTAGAGTTCCATGATTCAATATCTTCGCCAAATGATTTTAACCCCTGCGACTGACGACTTATGCAAATAAGGTCCTCATTTCTAATTATATCGGTTGATTATATTTCCGCCCAATGACAGTCTAATCCTAACAAGAATGCTATTTCCTTATAAAATTTAATATCATATAAGTTATAAAATTTAGATTTAAATAAGTTAAATATGTAAATATGTTCACTTTCAATCAACTCCCACCATGGCCAAACCGAAAAAATAACCTGTTGAATGTAAAAAAAAAACTGCATCATTGCAATATACTGTACACTATTAGACAAAACGTACACACAGTCAAAGTGAATATTAAGATCTTCCGGGTATGGAGTCATCAAAGTCTTCAATAATGGCAAAGTTTTCTTCCTGACTACTCGCTAGCAATATTTTGTATCTTACACAAGCACAATCTTTAACAAGACACAAAACTTTGGCATCGAAGAAAAGCTGACCATTAATTGTGAACATCAATACTCTAGCTATAGGCTACCTGGATTATAAGCTTACTTAATGAAATCCTTTCAGCTATCTATGCTTGCGTCTATCCAAACATAGGAAAACCATCAAGGCAGAAGATGACGCATTCTAGTTGTCAGTGTAGATTTAGTTCAGTTGTTTGCCGTCGAAGCAAGTTGTTTTTCACCGGAGCGAAATGCACTTCCTTTTTCTTGTCATTTTCTTGAGGCTGTAATTAGGTGCAGACAATAAAAAACATGACAACAAATGCAGGTTGTTTATGACTACATACATTGTCATTAATTCTTCTTAGATGCCATCACAAAAATCCTGCATGATATCTCATCTTTACTTTACAAAAGTGCATCGCGAAACTCCTGGCAAGGCTTAAGGCCTTGAAAACTTCTAGAACTCACGAGACCAGAAAGATGCCCACGAGTACATCTTAATGATGAAAGGAGAAACGTTTTCTTACCTCAGGCTTGGACTTGCAGAGCTTTACGAAGATAATCTGAACTAGAGTCACCAGAACTGCCAGCCCGGCAGCGCCTCCAAGGACGTAAAACACTCCCAGAAATATGTCTATCCCCAACGCAGAAGCTGTGTTCACATCAGCTACTTCTCCATCCAGCGGGCAGCCATCTTTGGGCCACCATCTGTTTCGTAACTCATCCATCTTTCCAGTTTCTTGGAGCTTCAGAATTCTGGATAAAATGAAAGTAAAAATCATTTAAGATTGCTTTGTGCAGCCGTTTTGTTATAGCCAAAACAGGTTTTAGTTTATCGACCCGCATCGTCATATTTTTTTTCAAAATATTACAATGATCCGCCGTACATACCACAATTAAATTGAATTGGAGAGTCATGATGATTTTGAATGTTCTTTTGATATTTGATAATACAAAAGCAAAATACACAAAAGATCAGTACCAGTAACAGAAAATAAAGTAGGGCATAAGACAAAATTATTAGCACATTCATTCGTCCATTCATTAATTTATCTATTCAGTATGAGCACATGCACCTAAAATATTTTTCAAAAAACTTTTTTTTTTCTGCATACCTGTAAGACAAATTTTAACTGTACAATTCAGAATTTTACTTACCCGACGGATAACGGTTTCTTCAGCCAGCTCAATCTTCTCGTTGCAAATCCATATCCTTTGAACAGGAATGGCTTTCCCAGCAACATCAAATCGCAGTTATCGTCAGTTCTTACAGCGTACTCAAGAAAAGGCGTCTCCTCAATAAGAACATACCCTCCCTGGCGAACCCATTCCAGGCCCTGCTTGCTGCTGTTGGGGAACTTGCTGACGTGTTTGTGGTTTTCCATTTTCATGTTGTACCACATTCGCTCGTAAATCGACCCAGTACCTGTCAATATAGTTAAAACAAACCTTAATCTCTAAGATAAATAAATAATGATTTCAATAACTGAAAAAAATTTTCATCGACATTTCACTGGTGTTTGCGAATTTGCTGATGTGTTTATGGTTCTCCATTTTCATGTTGTACCACATCCGCTCGTAAATCGACCCAGTACCTGTCAATGCAGTTAAAACAAACCTTACCCAAATTCGTTGTAGACATTGTCTAGTGATTCTGTCAAGTATTGTATGTATATATTTATTGTATGTATTGTTGTGGATGAATACCAGGAAGACTAGCGGTGGACCCTTGGGCCCACCGCTAATGGTTATTCTAAATAAAGTTTCAAAGTTTACCCTCTAAGATATATAATGAGTTCAATATAACTAAAAAAAACATTTTGATCGACAATTTCCTCCCCACATTGGGGATACGGTCGCTATATCTACACTGCCCCATTTGTGTCGATGGTCTGCATACATTTCGTGCCTGTCTGAAAAGAAGTGCTCGAAAACTGAGGACCTACATGTACCCTTTTTAAAGAAAACAGAAAAAATTTAATATATAAATAGATGGATTAGTCCTCATGTGACTGGCATTTGAAGAATGCATTATGTCCCTACCTTAATCACAACACAATCAGAAACTCATTGAGTCTGAAACTGGTCTGCAAGGATGGGAACTTCTGTCCGCAATGACTGACAGACTATACTAGAGACAAAACTTCACAGGCTGCACCTCATCAGAGGAAGATTGAAGAAGAAGTTTCCCTACCTACTTGCCCCTTGAAGAAGTCATACAAGAAGGTACCATACGTGGCGCTGTACCGGATGTTGGTTTGGCTTGACAGGTCGTCAATGGACTTGATGGGCGTTACAAGCCGTTTGACGGTGAGGAAGGCCGTGAGGTTGGCCGTGTAGGTGGAGATGACGATCAGGGTGAAGAACCACCAGGCACCGGCCAGGATACGGGAGGGGAGGGAGCGGGGGGCAGGCTCTCCTCCTGTGGAATGTTTAGTGTTAATTTTTTAGTTTTAGTATGAATATTTAGAAAGTTCAGTTGGTAGAAAATTCTTCAATCAGTGACTGTACTCAAAGGTTCATTTTCGATGTTGACTGTACACCGTGATCACGGAGTGACCTAGTCTCCCTTCTAGTCTAGAATACGACTAGAATACGAGACTAGGTCGAGACTCGTGTGGATCTAATTTTACCTTACAACAACAGTCATTGATTGAAGAATTTTCTGCTAACCCCTAATTTTACGTGACTGATGAACCTCTTCAACGATATTAGAAAGTTCAATTATCAACCTACGTCATTAACTTCACGTACTTAATCTATTACGGATCCCACCATTACACATGTAATTCGCAGTTAGTAACAACAGCCAAAGGTTTACTGAAAGATGAGTTAATTTGTAAAATCCGTTGTTAGACTGTGTTTCGTGCAACACAATGTTTTTAAGTGTGAGTGTAGTGACAAAACTGTGACGATTATGCCATATATAGCAGATAGCAAGAAAAATCAATATCTATTGACTAAAAACAAAATACGAAAACAATCATAACAAAGGGTCTTCTTTGACTTTAAAGGTACGTATGATAGTTAATTTGTAATCAGCAGTTCAAGTATCAGCATCATTTTTGCTAAGTGCATAATATTTTCCTAGTTCAGGTAAGGGAATTACCAACACAGCATGTTCTGTGTACACTGCACTCAATTATGAATCAAACCTCATTCGTCTGTCATTTTGAACTGCAATAGGCAATTAGGATCCATGAGACATAAATACGTCTTAAGTGAAAATTATTCAAATGCAACAACAAGAAATCCATCCGATGCCCTGCTACAACATTTGCATAATCCGCCATATGAATCATTCGTTTCTATTAAGTCCTGAAACTGCTGCGTCTTGCAAGAAAATTTATGTGTCTTGTCAGTGGAGGGGTTGGCGGACGAAGTTGACAAACATCTTCACTCAACCTTAAACTATTCCATAAGCCATTTCGATCCTAGCCTTGAGCAGTCGAAGAGTGCGATTTATTATTACGACTCCCTCTCTCAAGGCGAATATGCTACGTCAGCAGACTTGGGTGTACTGTGAAAAGATAAATTCTCTAAAGACGTTTCTATGAAGAAAAAGATATCATTCTATTGTCTCGGTGTAGTGGAAAATTAATCTTATATATACCAATTATAGGGGAAAAGGCAATTATTAATGTAGCCATTTAAACAATTTGACTTGCGGCAGGAGTCACCTCCTTGTTATCGAGTTTCGCATTTTCCCGGCATCTGATGTCTGTGCAGGCTGTGTGGTATTGAGTTCCATAGTTTCCCGCCATTTTTCACGAGAGAAGGGCAGCGTTGGTATTAGGTTTCACATTTTCCCGCCAAAAGACACCTGTGTGACAGGACACCCGTTCCCATGGCGGGCTTGTCACTGTTTCCCGCCATTTTGTATTCTGTTCAAACAGTGTCCAAAATACTGTATTTTGTATATGGCATATTGTGCTTCTATAGGCTTCTATATATATATATGTTGTGTGCATGTGTTGTTATTTAAACTCGAAGCGTTCGTTTTTATGAGAGCTTGACTGAGAGTGTCCGTCACGTCCCGCCTCCACGACGTATTATTGGTTGTCAGTTTTCCCGCCAAGACGACACGCCTACGGTATCGTGTTACACATTTTCCCGCCAAATTTACAACTATGTTGCGTCGTTTTGATTATCCGTGTAGCTGACAATACGTTGGCTTCTCGTATAAAACTCCTCCTGTCTTGTTCAAAACTTCTTTGAATTTTAAAGTTGCAGTTTCGTTCTGGCAATGATTCTACCTTCGGGCCACAGAAATTTCCCATATGCTGTTGCCATGTTCAACTCAGAAGCTCAATATTCTTTATCCACTTTCCACGAAGTTTACACAAAACATCCCAAATGTATGACAGAGATAGCATTATTAAAACCGGTCAATAATATTGATATACATTTACATATGCATGTGTAGATTAGTTGAGTCAATTGATGCTTTTGCCGTTCTTTCTGCCTTTTACAATAATTATTTTTGTACAAGGCTATGTAAAATTAAGTAGATAAAAAATAAACTAACGTCTGTAATTTAAGTCTCCACACCAACCTTTTCTGACTATTGACCAGTATGTCAACCACAAGCTGTTCTTCATGTTGAACTTTACATCGTTGTCATAGTTAGGGTCGCCCACGTTACACTTGTATCTGGAAAGGATAAAATAAGTTAATAACTTTAGTAGTTTACAGATGTAGATTTAAATGCTTAATAATTGGCGTTGTGTATAAGGGACTACACTTAGCTCTAAATTAGGCCACATTAAGATTCGATTCAGATAAAGTTATTTCATGGATGACGTCCTCTGGAGACACTGAATCTAAAGCCTAAACACCAGAAGGACCGGAAAAAAGCAAGATGACCAGATTTGAAAAGCATACTAAAGGACAACAAATGTTAGGACAAAAAGTGAATGAAAGAGCACAGTGTAACAACCAACAAGTCTGTTATTCGTCATTAAAAAATCTAATAAATAAATTAGTGGAACAGCAGTTGTCGTCCTGCCCTGTTTTTTTTCCTTTTATCACATCTTCAAATATTGCGATTTGCAGCACCTTCATTACTCTTTGGTCATAGTTACAGGACGCGGAATGTCTTTTTTCTGGGAACAGGCCCAAATCAACGCGCGCGCGCTCGGACGTCATCTATGAAAATTACATGGAGCGGTCTTACCTTTTTTCAAGAGCGTTTTGTCTCGTTTGTTTATTAGTAAGTCTGCAAATGATACTTAGCACTACTTTACGAACTAAAAATCGGAGGCAGATTAAAGTAACATGATTATATTAGGTAGATATTTTACCTAATCCTACTTGTGATGTACAGCAGAATGGCGGTCCCGATCAGTGCTCCCAGAATAGAAAACCACACCCTACTGTTGAACGGCAGGAGAAAGGCGAACAGAGATGTTCCCTTTGGTTCTGGCTTCCGGATGAGAAGCCCCGCCCCCAGGTCCATAAAAGGGTTGGTGAAGTCGACGACTTGTTCCCTAGCTGAGCTGATTGTTACTGGTGCAACTGCCACATCAGCTTTCTTTAGTAAAAAGACATGAACAATACTCGATAACAATTATAAACTTGATTTGAAGTTGGCACCAACAGCTATATTCTAATCTACGTATTGGTTTCATTATTAGTTATGGGACTAAGGGAGTGCTTGTGAATACATTGAGATTGACATAGCATCAACAAGATTACAAGTAGAATAAAGCATTGAACTTGTTTATTGTCACTAATTTTACCTTACCTTACCTGGGCCCTTGGCCCCGTGTGGAGCATAGGCCATCGACAATTTTCCTCCATCCAGCTCGGCTTTAACTATTTTAAAAATTATTCGTGTAACCAAAAACAAATTTAATTCTTTACCAATAATAGTTATTTGTATTTGCAACTTTAAGTCCTAGGGCTAAAAGTATTTGCTAAAGTAAAGAAACAATGTATAGAAAAAGGGTAAACATCAAATACCTTTCTCATGACTTCACCGATGAGTCCTCCCCATGTTTTGTTGGCATTCAGTGATCCATATGTTCCATCGGGGACCAGGTACAGGTCGAATGTGAAGCCGAGTTCTGCCGACAGTGCTGTGATGATGTCGATGACAAAACCTGTAAACTTTGCCCGGTCGCCCAGCTTGTTGACCATAACATATGGCTCCTCCTGCGAAAATGAACAGAAAATTGATGGTGAGCATTATTTTGTTAGGTCACACCGACCTTATTTTATGGATGGCATCCCCGCGCGGATTGATTTTCGCCTGTTCTCGGGAAAAAAAAATCACGTCCCCCGAGGCTCTGGCCTGGCTCTAGGCCTGGGTAGTCCATGGTAGTTATCGACAATACAGAGCCGGTGGTAACTCTAGAGGAACTCTTTTTGAGCTGACATTTTCTTTAGAGGATGTCATCCATAAAATTAGCCGGGGCCCGGTCGGGCCGTTTGAGTGAATGAAAAATGAACAATTCATGCCATTAAAAAATTAGTCTTGTTTAATTTTTTTGTGTTTTATTCTCTATCATCTTATACTTTCGTTTCATAACACTGCCCTGTCGGGGCCCCGGTTGGAAATGCCACCTCAGTATAAGCATAATCAAATGCATGGCAATGTACAATAAAGGTAAAAGCACAGTAAAGTGTTTCACAACTCAATCTTGACTGAACCTGTATCTCCGGATCCTCCCCACAAAAGTTCATGATTAAGATTTAAGCATGTTTTGGATATAATTCTTATCACTTCAGTATCACCTATCAGATAGAACTGCAGACATTATAATTCAAGAGGGACTGCTAAAAGTTGTATGTATCAGAGGACTTTAATATCCATTTTGAAACTCAATGAAATAGACTTTATCACTAGTACTGGTTGCTACTCTGATATGGCTCCTGCATCTACTTGTTGAAATGAGGCCTTTAATATTACGAGAGGGACTGCTGAAAAGTTGTATGTATCAGAGAACGTTAATGTCCATTTTAACCCTCGATGAAATAGACTTTACCACTAGTACTGGTTGCTACTCCGATAGAGCTTCTGCATCTACTTGGAATTATTCATACTTTGGAGAAATGAGACCTTTAATTATGAGTGTGTGGGTGACAGTCGCCCACGTACACATCCGAGTATCATTTCTATTAAACTCACTTCACTGAGCACAAAGTTACGGCGCAGCCCAGTGGAGTTTGGACAACCGCATAATTGGTCAAGGAAGTATGCTGTAGGGCTGGCAATATAAGACTGTATGGCATTGCCGCTTAGAGTACTTAAGACAAGATTGTCTTGTCGACTAGGCGCTGTGCATCTGTACCAGCTGGTGTTGATGGTTCAACGCGTAGTTGCCATAATGTCTAGTGTAAAGTAAGCAGCTACACATCATCATCATTTTAATCATTATCTTCGCAGCTCTCATCTGTCGACTATGCTGGTCTCCACAGCTTTCCATTGCCTTCTGTCCAGTGCTTTCTTTCGAAGCTCCTTCCCAAGTAGTCCCCATCTCTTCTAAGTCTCTCATAACAGCTACGCAGTTACGCATGGATGCTGCTTGCCTAGCGTCTTCTTGAGTGGCTGTCAACACTAAATGCTACTCACGGCGTGCAATTCTCGGCATAAATACCCCAGCAAGGTGCCGTAATTTCCGTTTGAAATAAGTTAACTGGAGAAGTATGCAGCTCATGTTTCACGTTCGTTCACCCCCGCCCCCAGTTTAACGGTCTGTCTACTGGATTCTTTCGTTTGACCTCATCCTTGCAAGGGCACTTAAAATTCCCTCATAACTTCTTGGGTGCGATCCATGGGGGCAAGCATCGGTGACCTTTCTATTAGACTCTTCATATTGAACTTGGATGCAGGACAAGATAAAGCAATAGAAACCGATAAAGAAAGACATTAGCTTTGGCAGTCGAGTGCTATGTCCTTCACACTTACTTTTCATAAATACCACATTGCTCTTTTATTACACGTGCGTTCCATTGATACTAAATGAGTATGACAAAAAAATTCATTCAAAAACCTATTCCTAAAAGTTATCAATGGATATGGTCGCTGCAACAGGTCTGGTATAAATAATTTCAACATTATTGATCCATATTTGACAGCAGTACAATGCGGTACCGCACCCGCTGACCTCTAATTCTGATAACGTCGGAATCTGTTAATATTATTCTTATTACTATCTTCGGCATATGGAATTCAAATTATGTATACTCTATTAAGCAGAAAATTTGGATACTGCATTGTTACAACTGAAAACATTTATTAGAAATGCTGTATAGAAGAATTCTATGATTTTGATATAAGTAGTCCATTCGAGCAGAAAGATACACAGTGATAATATTATACATATCATCATTAGATTTTTTTCTCACAGTGTGTCTGCGTTTTTCCGATTCTAACACACACAGTGCAGGTTTACTAGCTATTTTCCTCAGTTCTGGTTTTTGTGGGAGTTGAAGGGTCACAGGTTAGTATAGGAATAGTGCTGAAGTCTGTGAATAGTTTCATCTGGTTGGTAAGATACTGAGTAAAGAGACTCTTTTTACACAACCAATGCAATGTGAACGAGTCAGAATTACCCTGAGGAAGGTGACAGACGGTCACCGAAACGACGGCTGAATAAAAGAGACTCGGTTGTGTAAAAAGAGTCCCTTTACTCGGTGCTCAAGTCTATCATATCTGATCGCGTCATCGAGAAACACTTTTTCCAACATGGATAAGGAAGTTTTCACATAGTTGATGTGTTTGTCCATGATTACTTGCACCGGAGACAGGTGAAGATCCCGGTAATACTAAGGATTATCACGTCGTACCTTCAAGGCCTTCGAGTTCCGTTGAGATTAAGGGTACTACTGTTAATGAGAATCTTGCCTTGCCGGATGTGACAGCTACAAAATGAATTGCTCGTCCTTTCGAAAAGTAGGACATGCACTTTATATCCATTTCATGGCAAGATTGCGTCCTGTAAAATTGCTGTTTCCAGTTTATAAAAAAACACGTCATTACACATACACCATATGAGAACTCTTCTGTTACCCTCGGGTCACCCCCTTTATTTGTGACCTTCAGTCATATCTATTGACGTTTCGAAACCCGTTTTCCCGTTTCAGTTGTTGGGAGCAACAAAAAAGTATACAGTAAAATCGTTCAAGAAGCAAAATACTGAATCGGGTGCTAAAAATATGGAGCTCTTATTGTGGCCAATGTATTTCTTAACCTGTTTAAGAATTTTGAAGGTTCAAATAAGTCACCATGTCCTGTGATTGGCATGGAAATAAAAAAAAAGAAATGAAGGTCCACAACTCGGCAGTTTTTGCAAAATCACAGTCTCAACATTCAACATCTGTCACTGTGACTTCCGATCCAAAGACATGGAACGCCACGGATGTACAATAAGCGTAGTGGATTGTAAAGTTTCAAAAACAGTGTTTTTATGTACCAAAGAAAGTCTTATACGACATACCTCAATAGTCACCGCTGTCAGATGTATTCCTTTTAGTGTATGTCGCTCTGAAAAATAAGAGAAATCCAGTTTCAAAAACAGTCCCCGTCTTACCAATTCAATTTCAAAATAGGGAAAGGAACTAATACCAAGGAAAGTGCAGTCCATGCTATAACAATAGTCCCTAAGGCCAAAAAGACCGAAATTGCAGTTAGAATTTCATCAGAACTGCCACTAGGAGAATCTGGATAATACTAGATGATAGATTATAATAAGCAATATTAAGGCGATGGCTATCCCTACTAAATCGAAAAAAAAGCAAAACAGCCCCAAGGCCAAGGAGACGAAAGTTGAAGTTGGGATGTTATCAGAACTGCCATCAGGAGAATATGGATAATACTAGAAATTTCTATTAGCAATATTTAAACAACGACTATCCATACTAAACCAATCAGAAGCAAAGTAGGTTTAGTTGTCTGTAAGAAACAGAATATTCTTTTATGACAAGCGGAACAAAACCCAGGGGTTTCTGAAAAAAGTTTGAGTAGTAGTAATGATTGTTTTTTTCTTAACAGGTATATTTCTAACAGGTCCTATTTTCCCGCCAGTTCAGGGTGGTGTTGGTATTAGGTTTCAATGTTTCCCGCCTATATGTCCCACTTTCCCGCCAGTACAGGGTGGTGTTGGTATCGGGTTTCAAAGTTTCCCGCCTATATCTTACCTTGCTCAGATGACTGGGTGGTTGCCAGAAGTTTGGCTATCAGTAATGGGGTCGGCTTTCTTGTCGCTTCATGCCAAAACAAAGGTGCTGAAAAGAGAAACCATAAGAATGTCGTTATTTAACAGATTCTCACTCATTCATAGTTAGAGACAATCCGCGACAAATACTACAGGTTAGCTAGTCTATAAGAAATTTGCGTTGGCTTGGTGTATGCATAGTAATGTTTTTGCGTGTGCGCTTAAAAAGTTCCACTTACTAAAGGTACCGTATAAAAATTACAGGTAATTTGGTAAGTAGGAGAGCTAGTGGAACAAATTTAGTGCTTTGACATTCACGGTGTTTTCCATAGGTCAAGTGGCATAGTGCAAGTGGACCATAAGATAATTAAAAGAAGACTACTAGAGCATCGTCAAGATGTCGTTGCCACACAAATTTTGGGTACTAACAATGGAAGATAGACTAATATAGCAGATGAAGGAAACCTTACGGATTACTGTTGACAGAATTTGGTTATAGTTTAATTATTGCTTAGTGATGAACAATGGAAAACATCTGCCCAATCGTTTTATTGAAATCTCATTACCATACAATACCCGTTTTGTTTTGTCATGAAGATGTATGTGGTACAACGTTTGTACATCATACAATTTAAAAACAATTTGATGCAAGGCATACAACTATATGGTCTTGAAAGTTGTGTAGTCACCACTACATGTTACTCATTTACGAAGGCGAGGGACTATGGCAGTGTTATCGCTTATTTAAACCAACAGCAATCGATACACAGGGCATATAGCATTTTCCAGGCAGCAAGCAATTGTATAGACATTGAAATCCCTTAATGACAGATCGTAGAACCATGTAGGGTGAAAGGTCCTGGCATACTGATCACCCTAATCCCTCAACGGATAAGTACTATTGACTGGGACCCAGCAGGCTAGGGGACGGGGAGTTATCTGGGGGATTAACCATACCGTGGTGGATATGTTGTTGTGGAGTTGTGCTGTGTGTTATTGCAAGGACAAGGCCGGTGAGATATGTTAGCACAGATGTTATTTATAGCACGGTGTTGTTACCTCCATGAAAGTATTGTTTTTGGCGTGTCTGTCTGTATGTGTGTTTGTGTTTCCGCACATTTGTAGTCAGCATAACTTAAGAACGCCCTCATGGATTGTGATGATATTTGGTACGTTGGTATAGGTCTTAGGAAGACAAAGGTCAGGGTCAAATATTAGCCCCCTGGTGGCTGACCTTGGTACTGCATTAGAATTTCTGGTTTTTGTATCTTTTGTCCTGAACATACTATGGTCTCTGATGTTTGGTGACAGATAGCTTTTCCTGTCAGGAATAAGTGGTGTATGTTTTGTCCCCCCAGCATCTTGTTCTGGTTTAGTGATGTGAAGTTCTTGGATATTTCGACGTAGAGACGACTTATAGGCAGAGCAATAGAAAGTAGCATATGGATTCTGTAATCTTGAACATTTCATCGTCATCATCATCATTATGAACATTTTACAAGAAGTAAAACAATCACGGTATAATTAGTAACGCTAAAGAGGTGTGGTGGATGTCACTCAAAACATCAGGAAATTATCTCGAATTATCTCGAATTTACCATGAGTACGGTATAATAGCTTTATGTTGGTCAAGCAACACGAAACCTCGTAACCACAAGGGGAAACCTTGTAAAAGTAGTGAATACACGAGAGTTTGAAATTTGTTGGGCAACTAAATAATGAGACCTGCCTGCCTGCTTACTGCCTAAGTGCACAGGCCAGGCACTGGCCCCTTGCTCCCCTCCGTCAGGCTCCTCCAACCAGGAGCAAGGGGCCAGTACGTACCTGGCCTGTGCACTTAGACAGTAGGCCTATGAATGAGACAATCAGCCCAAATTCTAGAAGTTTAGGGGCAGAATAAAGGCAATCCTCCAGCAGACAGAAAGTCCAACTAGGTCATCACAGCTTCTCCACAAAAGATTGGAAACTATTGATTTCGTCTTGCATGAATATTGCACTGATGGGCCGATACGGGTTGACAGCAGCGCGTTTAAAGCATCCAATGCAATTTTAGGGCGGCAAAACTGGGCGAAATATTCTGAAGACGACAATGTCAATGGTATGTTAAAACATGTACCGTCCCACATCAGTATTTCATACTTAGGGCATTTAAGGCTAAAGAAATAAGCCCCAAGACGAGTCCTTTATTTTCTGGGTGGTACCCTAAAATCAGCTAAGGGTCCTTCCAGTAACCGTTTTATGTCAGAATTTTAGAATACATATTGCTAGACCAACTTTCATAGTGAATATCACTGATATCATATTTTCCATTATTAAATCTATTACGTTGTAACGTTTGAATTTTTTCCTGTGTTTACATGATATTGACTTGATTTACTTTACTTGTATTGCCATACGACATTTCTAAAGACCATCTCTACATATTCTTGTAAAGTACCAAATAAATAGATAAACGAATGAATGCAGATAGCGTGCTGTGACCACGCAGTGGGGGGATACGCCTGATAAAAGCCACAAAATAGTCTATCAGCGCTGCCCACATGGGTTGATGAGCAGTAACCACCTATAGTATAGGCAGCAGTAAAATATCATCAGACTCTGTGGTATCCGCATTTGAATGCTGAAAGGTGAAGGTATTTACCCTTTTTTCGTCAGTGGCAATGGGGATGAACAGAATATTGTGTATTTTTCAGGTGCGGAAGAAAACTTAGTACTTAAAACTATATCAATTAATTACCAACGACACGTTCACTATCTTATATGTTTTAGTAACCAGCATGTTAAGCTTCATTTTATACCCTTTTCGTTTTGTACTATGTTCAATAGTCGTTGCCATACATTATGCCATGTACAATTGTCATACAATCAAGTTCTTTTATTTTTCAATCATTTTAAATGGAAATCTTAAGACCAATACTTGCTACATATTGTACGATAGTACATTTGTAATCTAAAGTTAATTAACTTCTAAAAGTGTAACTGCAATAAGAATTTACCATATTTCTACCGTCCCTTACAGCATGTTCAATGCACAATTGCAATGTTTTAAATGTTTTGCTACTACGTAAAGTTAGAATTCAAAGCAACCGAAACTTCCTTCCATGTAACTATGTAATCACAACCATCAACGGTTGACCTCGGTCGGACGTAATTAGAAGATGGAATAAGGACTCTATGTTATTCGAATAATCCTTTGAAGTATAATGATAATTTACTACATTTCTACCACAATTACAGCGTGTTCAATACGAAATTCCAATGTTTTGATGTTGTGCTACTACGTAAAGTTAGAAAAAGCGACCGCAACTTCCTTTCATTTAATCATGTAATACACAATCACCAACTCTTGACCTCGGTCGGCTTAGGATGGGATTAGAAGATGAAGTAATGGCTCTCTATTATTAGAAACCACCTGTGAAGTATATTGAGCTACTGAAGTGGAATTATATGAGCAAAGCATACCTTGATACCAGTGCTCAGCCATGATTATGCGTTATTCAGCCATAGAATACGTTCTTTCTAGTGTTAATGATGCGGCACCGCTTCACTCAGATATGTAATCTCAAAAGCAACGTTCTTATCATTCCTCTTCCTCCCCGTCGGTTCTAATCACGTCCAAACAATCCGCCTTTTGATAAAGCTTACTTTCATGTTCTGAGACCGTAGCAGGGGTTTTCATGAGACCAATCAATCATCTATGGTCTTCAGTTCATCTGAAGATAAGCTTGGAGATATCGTGGGGATTCTTCAATTCAGGGCTCGAAATTCCACCTGCACATGCAGGTTAGTGTGTAGAAAACGGCTTAATGTGTAAAAGTGTTTTTTTTTATGTCTACTCGTACCTAACCTGCGCCGGTCCATGTACTAGGTTTATGTTTATAAAAGTAGGTGTATGTGGATGTTTATCCATGGCATTTTCTGTCACCACATGAGAAGTATAAAAGGAATAATGGCAATGGCACAGTATAGTCCATACTTTATAAATTATAAATGGTACATATAAAATTGTTCTTGTGCAACTTGCTTCTACTTTGGGGTGTTACAGTTACAGTGCATCATGACATACATACGACCAGCACCTTTTAAGATGACATTTCGAGGTAAACTCATTACTTTCTGGTAGTAATGCCTCATATGCAAACGTAGATGCATGAAGTATTTTATACTCCATTTAATTTGCGTGGACTAAAACTTCAAAAGTCCATATTGCTTCAATTTTATAGAATGTCCCTTTACATTTTCCACAGCTCATGGTACAGAGAATACATGCTCCGTCTGTAAGGTATGATAACATTGGAAATGATGACCTTTCAAAATCTTTAGGGAAAATCAATCAGCCTGGTTGTCATTGATAGTTATAGTTTACAGTTTCATACGTCCTCATGTGTTCCGGTTCAAATCTACGTGGCGTATCAAGGCGTTGTTGGTCACTATTGTAATTTCTTGCTTTGCAAAGGTAAGTATGCAACGTTTCTTGAAATTATGTCCTTGAAAATGCACTTTACACCAGTTTGCTCCCTCGACTCAAGTGAAGTGGGTGCCTTGATGTGGTTATGGACGGCTTCCTGGTAGGGTTGTGAAGATGATGTATCCGTGTGAGTGCATGGATCATATCAACATGGTCTATTTGTATTTATTGAATCAAGTACAACATCTTTCAAGGGATTTGATGCTAGAGACAGATTTGAATGTACCATTACATGCAATAATTCCTACAATGCAAAAATAGGTAAACATTTAAAAGACTGCTATTGTTATTAGAATAAATGATTAGCCCCACTCGATTGTAACATTATATCAAAGACAGACTTGTTCTAGCCATTGTTGTTTTAGTGAAGTCTTATGATGTATTAGGTTTGAGTCTATATTAGGTCTGTTTCTATATTAACCTTTTTTGTACTAATTGTTCAATAACTGTTGCCAAACATTGTACCATTTGCAATTGTCGTGCAATTACGTTCTTCTAAAATATCTTGAATACCAGTAAATTGCAACTTTTTGCCAAAGTTTTATGAAGCGGAATGATCATATTTACATGTACGCCATATGATAAGCGTATCGATTCTGTGC